CAGGGGCTCTAAGGTCGTTTCACGAAGAGAGTCCGGCGAGGAAAGGATTCGCGGCGGGAGTCAGTTCGTGAAACGACCTCTTGATAGTTAGGGCCTGACAGTTGAAATGATTCTCATCCGTGTATGATCTGTAATCGAATGACGCTAGACACATGATCCTTCAGTGTAATTTTGTTTTAAGATCATATGGAATTAATTTTCAAGAATGTATTGATAATATTTAGGCGTTTATTTAAGTATCACATGTCTTCAAGAGGGCCAAAATATGATTTAGTTTTTTGTCGGTGGTATGTTTAGAGCAGTTTTATGCGTTGTTAATAGTTTTTATTGGTCCAAAATGCCAAAATGGTGACTGACAATGAAAGAAAAGAAAAAATATTTGTTTCTGAATCTCGACTTGATATTCTTCTTCTGTTGTTGAAGACGAGAGCACGGTGTTAGATATTTGAGAATAATTCCTTCCTTAATGCTGGTACACGTTTCGTAAAATGTCGTGATGCGAGAGAATGCAATTAGTCAGTCGGTCGTGGCGTCGGTCGGGGGTTCTTCTGAGGCGGCCCCTAGGCAGCGCCTTGCAGCCGCAAAGAACGCACAGCGCGGTGGCCGCCAGAGCCCGACTTGCGAGCGGCAGAGCGGCGGGCGCGCGGCGCGGGCCGGCGCGCGGGGGCGTGGCAGCGAGGCGTCTCCGGCCAAATCAAACCAAACTAACAGAACCGTTCCACAACCAAATCAAAACGACTACTCCTGCGAGACGAGGCACTATTATAGCAGCCTAATGCTAATGGGAGGCAACGCAAGAGCGGGCGGGAAAGGCGCGGTTTGGGCGGTGTGGGTGAGGGCAGGTCTGGGTGCGGAGAGGGGGTGGGGTGGAGCGGGGCGGGCTCCCCGGGGGCGGAGCACCAGTCGATGCTCCAGCCGTGCTGCCCGGGTGGGTGCAGCGGCCTACTGGGACGGGCAGGAAGGACACGGGAATAAGCTCGACGGCACACGGCGTATTCGAGTGGCAGCAGAACTGAGCCTTGGGGCACACCCACTCTGTTGCAAGGCGAACCAGTCGGTTTCGCTCTCGTGGAGTGGTGTAGTGCTGATTCAGTAAGTTTCCCGCAAGGTTGATGAAAGATGCTTAATATAGGGTGAGTGTTGAAACTCTACGTAAACTTTGATATTGTGTGCATGCCAAGGCTTACACACGCACTTACTTTTAGTGATCCAGTTGCTGAAAAACATGTTTGCTACTGTGATTAGACAAGATATGAAAGGTAGTAAGATATAAACCACTTACAATATTTCATGTTCACATCATTCTGTTTTGTTTTAGTATTAAATTATAATAAATACATCATTTCTATAAAAACTCAAACAATTATATAAATGGTGAATAAATTCCTAGTCAGAAATGTCTTCTGTAATATTGGCATAATAATGTAAATATGTGTCTTATTCTATTAACTTTCTAGACAAGACACATCTACCTTCTACGCCCCATCTACCTGCTATAACCATGCAGGAATTTTCTATTATGGATGAGGATAGTTCTATGCGATTCCATGCTTAACTACTAACCTTGCGGGAAGTTTACGAAGAATCAATAACTATCACCTTCGTTTATTATTCTACCATATCTCTCTCGCATGATATAGAACTGATTTTTAACTAAAGGAAAATGTCATGCGAGACGGAAGATATAAATATATTTTTTATAAATATACTATTTTTGAATACCTGGGTATTAACCATGTTCCTGAAAAACCTGTAAATTTTGTTAAATAAAATTACAAAATATTGTTAATCATTAAAACATAAATATTATAGATGACCGAATCAAATTTAAAAATTCTAGAAAGGGGGTAATGAATGAAGGAAATCAGTAAACCATTTGTAGATTAATTAAAAGTAAATCCACTCAGCCACCTAGCCTGAAAATGTATTACATATAGCATAAATATGGGAGATTAAAAGAACTTTAAAATTCATAATTTATTATACTAAAATACAAAACGTTTCAGAAAAAAATGAAAATTAAAGTCTGCATACCTGTGATAGACTTTTCCAAATCATATCTAAAGCAGTTATTACCAACACCAGATAAATGGCGTTCTTTCTGTCTCGTATGAATGCAGGAAAGCAGATACTAATTACTAAGATCTTGGTTTGGGTAGTAAATAAGGAAAGGTATAAAACTGAATGTTCTGTGGTAGTAAATAAGGTAAGGTATAAATCTGAATGTTCTGTGATTCTTGACATTGAATTTGCACATGAATATGTTCTAATTATTTGCAATTATGGTGGTGTTCATGATCCGAAAACATTTTGTAGTGTTGGGCATTGTGTAGGGGGAAGAGAAGTGAACAACGGCTCCCTCTTGGTATCCCCCTCTTGTTCATATTAAAAGGGCTAAAACGCGCATGCCGTCCAACAAGCGCACTGCACTCGTTCCACTACTTTAAAGGGCGCGATCCCCTCGGGCGGGGCTGTGGTGGGCGGGGCGGGGCGGGGCGGAGGCGGCGCAGCGGGGCGTGTGATGGGCGCAGCGCGGGCGGGCCGCGCCCGGGGCCTTCCGCCCCACTTGGCCCGCGGAGATCGATGTCGAGCGGTGCAGGCGCTCAGAGGCTGCGTGGGCGGAGGGCGGGGCGGGGCGGGGCTGGGCGGTTGCACGAATGCAATAGACCAGGGCCCCGGGGCATGGGGCCCAATCAGGACCATAAGCCACTGACTCTCAGGAGCGTAGATAGAAAAAATCGCATAAGATTAAAACGGTGACTTACGGTCCTCCTTCGCTCGGAAATTTCGAAACTAGTCACAAATCGCGTCCCAAATTACACATTTTTAATTGTATTATTTTATTTTTTGTTATTTTTTTTAAAGCACTCTAAGCATAAAGACTATAGGTGCGGTTAATATAATACAGTAAAATGGAGTTACGATTTGAGAATTGTTACTTGGGCTTGTCCAAGATTAACCAAAAAATAATGCACGAGGCCGAATCAAGAATTTAAGCCACTGGCTCACGACTACTCTCAGAAGCGCAGGTATAAAAAATGGACAAGATTGAAAGTGACATACGCTGCTCCTTCGACCAGTAATGTCGATGTAGTCAAAAGTCGTTTTTCAAATTGCACAATTTTATTTTGAATGTTTTTTTTCTTAATATGCTCTAGACTCATGAAGGTTAAAGAATCAGTCGGAAGTAATATAATACAGTAAAATAGGAATACGCTTAAATAATTGTTACTTGTACGTGTTCCAAATTAACCAAAATAAAACAAAATATTTCTATTATTGTCCAAATAACAAACACTCAAATCATATAATAATTGGAAAGGGATACAAAACAGAATCGACCTTTTTCCCAGTCAAAATTTTTTCTGTATTGAGTGAAAACTTAAGATATCCACTTCTGTATGTTATAAAGCAATCTATTTTTGAAAAGAGGTAATCATTCATTAAAAATTCACTTAAATTTCTGCATTAAAAAGTTAAAAAAATATTAATCGTGTCATGATATATAAAAGGTGGAACATTTAAGTTGCCCACAGCAAATATCATGAAAACGGCTAGAGGAATCGAGATGCTATTTGCGCCATGTTTTGGCAGATGAAGGCGAAAGGAACATATTTCGTTTTCTTGTTAGTACTGTACGTAATTTTAGAGACATTGACACAACTTTGTTATTTTTTAAATGAAAGTATTTATTTTTTCTTCAGCCTCCTAAAGTTCTTAAAAAATGAAATGCAATGATATACATATTGTTAATATTCAAAAAGTATTCTTTTACAAAAACTGTGCAATTAGAACTTGAAAAACGCTCTCCTGCAGCGCGCAAGAACAGCAGAACTTCCTGACATCGTATACGTGAGTCGACGCACTTTGTCGAAAAACAAATGTTATAAAATTCTTTATGAATACCTTCATTAGTGTTTTCTTCTGTTCTAAATTATTTTAACATACAACTTTGCAACAAAACTGTTACAAAATAAAGCAAAAAAAAGGAATTGAATGTACTGTGATTCCTCCTCACGTGTACTCGTGTTTCTGTTGTTTTTCCATGGAATACGATAGGCTCCCCAAATTAAAACTTAATAAAGGTATTTAAATACTCATCTCGATGAAAACAATGTAATTTCGAGCACCCTTCCTTTCTTGCGCAAGTAGAACTTGTGAAAGTCGGAAACCGAGGTCATTAGCATTACCACTAAGAGCATATGAAAAACCCGTAACCTGCGAAATTTCACGTTTTCCCACAAGGCGTGTGCGTAATATATTTTTCTGAACGACCTTTGTTTTGGGGGCTTTTCGATTCTTACTTTATGTTTCATGTTGATATTATCAATATTCTAGGGTATTTGGATGACAGCGATTGGCTGCAGACATCAACACGTTTTAATTCCATCGAGTTTCCAAACAGCACAGCTGGTCCAGTGCGGTTTTAACACAGTATTCATTTAAAACTTCCGAATATTGTGCTAATAATCGGTGCAAACTTTGTTGCTGTGAATTTTCACAAAGATTTTAGAGAGATTGTAGGAACTATTAAAATTATCACTTTGTGCTAAATTTAAGATGAGATTCTTTTTTCTTTTTTAACTCTCTTGTCTAATTTAGTAGAGAAAGTATTGTGTTTCGGCGTAGCAATATCCAACATAAAAGACTACGCCACCCTTCCAAGATTTAACTTTATTTCCTTCAGATGTAAGAGTGAACAATCATCTCATATTTTCTTCCCGAAATTAGTGAAAGAAAGGGTAGGCCTTTTCATACTGCCAATTTGTCAATGAAAACTGAAGGACTGTTCTGCGAGGCATGCTACTAGCGGTGCCTGCCCTGTACCATCCCTGTTTCTTTTATCTGCAACGCATTAACGGCGACAACGTCACGATTTTGGGACGAAGGCGCGTTACATTTTGGATTCGTTGAATAAGGAAAATAATTGGTATTTGGTCTTTGCTTTGCGCCCAGGCGCCACAAATTCGCCCTTGTCGCGCACGTGTATCGCCGCCAGCCCTAGCAGTCGGATGCGAGCGCCGGCCGGCGCTGGGGCGGGGTCCGGCGCGCTGGCGCCGTCTCCAGAGGCGTCGCTCGACGCCTCGGCTCGCGTGCCGGCGCCTGCGCCTCGCGCTCGCTCTGGCGGGCACAAGTTTAATTAGGGCGTTAATTTTAATTGCTAATATCGACAGCAGGTAGGCGACTCAACTGAGCAACTTAGCGCCCGCCGAGCTAGGCGTTTTAATGAGAAACGCTCTGAACTCCCCGTTTGCGACGAAGC